AACCGCAAAAGCCGTAACGTATTTAAGGTATGAATCACTGGCTTTGGTTACCTCTTGAGGAAATGTGTCTTCACTTTATCAATGGTGTCGAACCTCTTGGAGCAGAAGCGACACGAATACATCGTTAGCATCACTTCCACCGCTTCCGCGATCACTAAATCTACAGACAATCGCCAATTATAACCATTTAATTGTCATTTCATTTGTTAATTCAATATATAGTGAAATATCACTCCATTTGATGGCAAACTAATGGTTGGAGTGAAACATACCATCGCTTTCTTGTTCAGGAGTTGCGTCCAAATCATTGCTTTCATCCATCCTTTCTTCCGATCGCTTCAACCCTTAAACTAATTGCAATTCAATTCAATTCAAACTAATTTTACACCACTTTTACACTTATTTTTCACAATAAAATGCCTCAAAATAAATAACAGTTTATTTGTGCTTTCATTTTACTGTCAATGTGTGCCACAAATACCCCGTATTGTCGTTCACACAATCGGTACCATTTCATACACGCATAGGCTATACGTTTGGCCGCATTGTTAGGTGTGTTAAAAGGGCCCACAAATCCGGCTTACAATTCAATGGCTTTGTTTTGTGGGTTATATTCAACCGCTTTATTATTGGCTCACAATTTTCATAATACAATCCAATGACAGGTTTGGCGCTTATATTCAACACATAATAGTTTTGAATCCAAACTTTTATTAAAAACTTTGTATTTTTCATTCAATTGATACTATCATTGAAATAATGGTTCAGAAGTAGTGTCACCGCAAGAATGGCTTTTAATTTGACATTTTTTGATTGTTTAGGCCTTTTATGTTTATTAAGTTTGAGTATTATTAAAAACCAACTAATTATAAGTACAGGTGATTTTGGATAACGCAAATTGTCTAATTTACCATGTTGGAACCGCATAGTTTTGAACTGTTTGCGTTGGTGTTATGTACATTTAATAGTTTTGTACATTTTTAATTATATGTTTATGCAAATTTGTAAATCATTTGCCTATAAAAATGAGTGTAAATGCCAACATTGAGCATTTAGCATAGAAACAATATACTGTAATTAAGTTAACATTAAAAGTTACTAAAATTGGTACCCATTCACAGACGTGTATCCATAAGTTAGAGGGAAAATGTTTATTAATTTGTGAGAAATTAATTAATCAATAAAACAGACACCAATAAAATTGTTTTATCTGTAATATCGATAAAGTCTATAACATATTAAACATCATTAATTTGATAAGAATTAGTGCAAAAATACATTATATTTCTAAATCAAGGTTATAATCATATATCACTAACAAGTTATAAAATTGTTTGTGAATTAGATTAAAGTTTTTGAGTTTAATTTAAAATAACTTAAAATTTTTATTAACTTAATTTGTAAATCTAATAATGGATTTCGCGAAATATTTTAACAATAAAGTTGTTTTAGTGACCGGAAGTAATTCAGGAATAGGAGAGTCAACAGTATTGTTATTCTCGGAATTGGGGGCCAAAGTAGTGGTGACGGGAAGGGATGCCGACAAGAATCAAGTCGTGGCCAATAAATGCCAACAAATATCACCAAATAATTATAAGGTGTGTAAATCCCAACAATTTACATTTAATTAATAATATAGTTTAATTACAAAAGCCTCTGACAGTAGTGGCAGATCTGTCAAAAGAGCATGATGGAAACAAATTAATGGATGCAGTTATTGAGCATTATGGACAATTAGATGTATTGGTGAACAATGCGGGTAAAGGTGGCGGTCGTCCCGACGAGACATTACAGGAATTGGATCAATACTATAATATAAACCTTCGATCGGTTTATCAGTTGTGTTTGAAAGCAAAGCCTCTTCTTGAGAAGACCAAAGGCTCTATTGTCAACATTTCAAGCATTAATGGACTCAAACCTGTGATATACTCTATAAATATCAGTACAATTAAAATAACTATTTTCTTATAGTTCCCAAACGTATCGTATTGTCTATCAAAGGCTGGACTGGATATGCTTACCAGATGTCTGGCCATGAATTGGGGACCCATTGGTATCAGAGTTAACGGTCTTAAGTGAGTCTCATTTGATAAGTTATGCAAATATTGTTAGCAATTACACGATTGCATTGAATTGGTTGCAGTCCGGGACAAGTGGACACTCCTATTTGGCACGAATCAACAACTATGACATCTCAACAGATCCATGACATGTGGAAAGCAGTTGATATGAAATATCCGGTGAGACGACGCGGTTATCCCGAAGATATTGCAAAAGCTATTGCTTTCCTGGCGTCAAAAGATTCGGGTTTTATAACCGGTGTTAACATTAGAATCGACGGCGGATTCCTTGACTCACAATCTCTTATATTTGATTGAGTTTTGAGTTAATTATTTTAATTATGATTTATAGCATTTAATATATACAGTATATAATTTACATTATAAACAGCTTACCGCAATAAAAATTTACGCTATATATTTTTATTTTTAAAGATTTCAATAATAATTATATAAAAATTAAAATTTATTTATGTTATTTGAAATTCTAGTTAAAAAATATTTTTAATGTCCAATTTTAACATATAATAAATGTAAAGTACTGTAATGATAAAATTTTAATTAAAGGTTGATAATATTCATGAAATAATTGTTTCAAAGTCATTACAATTGAAATTGTTGACCGTATTATAATAATTTAATAATAGATTATGCTAATAAAGTTAATAAATTTGATAAAAATACATTAATATTTCATTTAATTTAACGGCAAATTATAAGTTAAATACATTATACAGTATTGTCTATTAGTATGAAATGAAACTTGAAATTAGAAAATATAAATTATTAGAAATGTTATTATATTTAAGAATATTTTAATTTATTAAATAATGCTTTTTAGAATAAAATTGCTATCTTATTATGATTTGTATTATTTTGTAAAACTTGTATTGTATTGCTGTGCTCTCAGACTTCATTCACAACCTAATAGTACATCTTAACAGTAAGTATAACAATATTTGCAGTTTATTACTAACAGTAAGAATATAATTATCTTTCGCCAACAGAAGTACTGTAGAGTTGGGCGGTTACGATATAACTTATATCTATCTTTCAATAAATACAACTTATAAGTAACTGAAAAGTTGGTTGACTTGTTTTTCAGAGTTTGAGTTTCGACGGGAAATTTTGAACATCACTTTATAAATAAAGTTTTTAAGCATTTTATCCATTTTGAAAATCAATTGTGAAATGGATTTCACGGGTAAAGTAGTGTTAGTGACGGGTTCGAGCTCTGGTATCGGCGAAACCACTGCACTCTTGTTCGCAAAACTTGGCGCTAAAGTTGTGGTCACCGGAAGGGATGCCAACCGTGTCGATGATGTGGCCAATCAATGCTATCAAATCTCGCCCAATAAGTTCACGGTTACTATATTTTTTGAATATTATTTTATTTATTAACATTAGAAAAGAACTTAAAATAATTATCCCTTAATTGACAGTATTTTTAATTATGTTAACAATAAATTGTATTTTACGATAAGGTATTGAAATTTGTGGGCGATTTAGGAGAAGACGAGAGCGTAGATGCGTTAATGGATCTGATTGTGAAGACTTACAATCAGTTGGATGTTGTCGTCAATAACGCCGGCAGAGGAATAGATCGGAACGAGACTTTGATGAAGTCTTTTGATGACTTGCATCGAGTGAATCTCAGATCTATTTATCGCATTTGTCTCAAGTTTGTTAAACAAATCATTATTTAAAAATAAATTTTTGAATCAATTTTTCTTTCAGAGCTCAGCCTTTACTTGAAATATCGAAAGGAGTTGTTATCAATAACTCGAGTATCTGTGGATTAAAACCAGTAAATATAGACATTTCAATAAACTTACTTTTCTCGGTTATTGACATTACAAACAAAAAATTGTAATTATTGATAGGTTTACTGATCTTTACACAAGTAATATCAATCAGTTTTTCAATCAATTTCAAAACTAACAACTCTTTAAAAAATTAATTAATAAATAGGAATAATCTTAATGTTTTAAGTAAATTATTTTATCAAATTAAAATAAAATAAAATATATGTTTAGTTTCCAGAGATGTTGGCCTACTGTACATCCAAAGCAGGTTTGGTCATGATCACTTAAAATTTAAGTAATTGTCTACATAAAAATACACATTATTTGTAGGCTTAGATATGATGACCAGATGTTTGGCCATTGATTG